TAAACCAGTCTTGGTGGTCTGTGATTGTCTTCATTTTTCACCCCCTAAAAAAAAAATACTTACTCACTTACAAATGTGGTTTTAGCAACCTGTTCTTAGTACATCTGTTCATCAGCATCACCGTTCTGCTCTCCTCACTTATACCAATATAGCAGCTACAGACAATATCTTGGAAATGTTTGTAATTTCTGTGGATGGATGGATCATCGCTCTCTTTGTGGGTGGCACACACACTGTGGTCGTGTGTTTGTATCTATTACCGGAAGGCTGGTCAGATCTGTCAGCCTCAGATGATTTTAATATTTAATCGAAGTTGCAATATAGAAAAAGAATTGGTTGTCTGTGTCCCAGATGAAACAGCTGCTCTGTACTCCCTTGATGAATGAACAGTGAGCGTGCCCTAATTGTGTGAGGAACGCATCTCAGCCGTTCTGCTCTTTATGTTTTTGACCTCAGCCCAACTGCAGTCATTTTCCTCATTTTGTTGTGTTAGGAGAATGTTTTAGAAGTGGGGTAATATTTATAAAAGCTAGTTAAAACTTTGTTTCAAAGCCATTTCTTTTCTGGTGTCCCTTATAATTGTGTTTTTTTTTTTTTGCCAGCATTAACAGGGAGATAGAGATTAAATCAAAACATGCATTCTAGATTCTATTTCATTTTACATTTGCTCTATTAAGTACAAAATAGGCTGTTTGGTTGACTTGCATTGAGTGTTGAGGTACAAAAAAAGAATTACATAAAATAATCAACCAAGCATCTGACAAATATACTGAATTCTATTTTTTGTTGTTGTTAATTTCGGCAATAATATGTACAGTAACCTGACTCCGCCAGATGGATTTGCTCCGCACATCCATCTGGAAACCTTCCGTTGAAGAAATTTTGGGAAGGGGCGAAAATACTGGTTAGCTGATTGGCCTATGTTGGTGATAGACGGGCCAAATAAACTAATCAGATCAACGAAGCATATGACGTACTAACAGAGAGACGACGAAAACACAACCACAAGCCAGGCTACTCTTGCCGAAACCAGTCGGGAGAAGAGCAAAAACATCTTATCCTCTGAGAAAAGCCTCCAGAGCAGTGTTTTGCTCTTCTTTCAGTGAAGAAATACTCTGTAATTCCGATAAAACCTGCTCGATAGCCACGCTAACGCTAGTTTCATCGGCTGAAGCCGCCATGTTCTTTAGACTGAACTGTCGCGCTTCTCGTTGGGTCACACCTCAACCCTCCTCAAAGCCAACGCTGATTGGACGTTCGTTTGGTGAACGGCTCCAAATTTTCTTCAACGGAGAGTCTCCAGACTGATCTGCGAGTGAAACCTTGAAAGCTCGCGAGATCAGGATGGTCTCACGAGGCTATATGTACAGTAGTGGCCATTCAAAATTTCCCCAATTTCCTTGATGGGCCCTTGGCTGGTCCCCTACAATTCCTTCAGCCAGGCCAGCAATTCCCTTTAAAGACTTCCCTTTCAGAGACATTGACCATTTTTGCGTATTACAGGCAGAGACATAGACAGGGCCCGTTTGGGGCAGACCCCCCCTGGAGCCCCCTTTGGAGCTCATCAGGTTAATTTTGCATGTTTTCTAAGCCTGTAGAGGGCTTTGTTTTTGGTCCACTCTATAAAGCCTTGAACTCAACACTATTTCTGACATTTTTAATTGAAAATGTTTCCTGGATGGGAAGCGAAACGTCTTCAAGCTTGGAAACAAAGGATTGTTTTTTAACTTTTTTGGAATTACTTTCTTTCATTAATTGCGGCCATTAAAATCTAAAGAGAAGCTGTAGGCAGACATTAAAGTGTAACCAGTACATCTAGCATTTACATTTAGCATTCCCCTTATTCCTTGTAAGGCTGCCGTGAAACAATTATAGGTTTAACTTATTTTGATACCCTGAGAGTAGCAGTACACTATTGTCTAATTTGTGGTTTATTTACTAATTTACATTCAATTTATGAGTAAGCTTACAGTTCTGTTTTCTGACAGATGATAAAAAAATAGTCTGTTTATTTATAAAACGTTGTGGAGCTCTGGTACATTGGGCAGCTTAGTCTGCTGCCTGAACAACTGGAAATGTTTGGAAAAATCCTTATGTGAAACGCCTCAATAAATGTAAACTGTGTATTTGGCTTCAGATTAGCTTAACAATATGAATCATAATGAGGAACTGTGCCAACACTGAAGTCATCATGTTATGCCCAAACACAGTAGTCATACCACACCTATTTAAAAGTGCCTATGCCAAAATTTGCTGCACACCACATTTAACAGACTCCTTCTTGTATGCAGAGTTTCTACTCATAAGAAGGTTCTGGTAAATTTGGTTTGGTAGTGCTAGGTATTGGAAGATTTACCTCTTTTTTTCCACGTTTTTGTCAACGGTCTCGCTGTTTCAGTTGGAGTCCCAAAAGACAAAATCATTATCTTTTTAGCCTATTTTAGACAATATTCAGAGACTTAATTTCTCATCTCTTTTTCATTTCTCCAAACTGATGACAGTTTATCTGTTATGGTTCTCATTTGTTGTGACTCTGAGTTTTCTGTTATCAGTTGTTTTGTTTTTATTTTCCATAATATTCTAGCATTCTTTAGTTACTCTCTGTTGCCCCCTTGTGATTGTTTTCCTTCCCCTTGGATTCCCTCTTGCCAGTTCCACCCACACCTGCTCCTCATTCAGCTCGTTAGTCCATCCTTTGTTTTGTTCTCCTTAAATACTCCACCTCTGCAGTCACGCAGTGCTGGTTCCTTCTCAATGCTGTACTCATCTACTCAGCTCATCTCCCCGTGGCTCCTCAGGTTCGTTTTTCCCCTGATGTCTCCATGGTTTTTGGTTTGTTAAACTTTTTAGTTAGATTCCTGGATTTTTACTAGTGATGGTGAGATGAAGCCTCATGAGGCTTTGAACTGTTTGGCCAAATTGCTTCAACGATCCCCACAGTTCATGAGGCTTCATGTGAACATGTCACCACCTACTGGTGGAGGGCAGAACCACAGTTTGTAATAAAATCTGTGATTTTTTTTTTTTGCAATTGTTTTTCTTGTTTTCCCTTTTTAAGTTCCCTTGAAATTGTTAATGGTTGGTGTGTATAATAAAATCTTTTGTAAGTTTTTTTAAAGTGTAAAATTTCCTAGAACACTCATTTAAGGTGCACCGTTTTTCTGCCATTTTAGTGAAATAAACTTTTTTTGTTTGTTTTAAACAGGTTGGAAGTTGTGTTCAACCAATCTTTTGACTAAACCGACCTAATTTACCCAATCTATATTTTTACTCGGGCAAAACAATGCAAATTAGTTTCATCAGCCAAAATAATTAAGTTTAATCGCAACTTTCCAAAGAGAAAGACAGGTCTTGAACCGTCAGCCTCTAGAGTGAGAGCCTGTCTCTTACAGACAACGCCACTCATGTAGATGGTCTGAACTAGGAGAAAATACTTCTTAACACTGACGTGTTACACTAACTTTGTTCGGTGGTTTGCTCAAATTTTGATCATTACATTGTTTATTCAAACCAAATTAGCTTTAAGCAAATACATTGGTTGGAAAAGCAACCAATTTATTCTTAGAATCTATCCAAACTTTATTCAGCTGACAGCAGCTCTCCAAACTCCCACATCTTGACTGAACACTTAGATGCCTGTCAAAATTCTTGCGCTTCCCGAACCACTTACCGAAGCAGTTACGCGCTTCAGGGAAACGCCCCCTCCATTACTCGACACACACCTCGAAGCCTCGGCTCATCTCATAACATCACTAATTTTTACCTCTGTTTCCTTGTTCTTCAATTAAACCTGTCAAAACTATCTTTGCTCGGTTCTGCATCTGGGTCCTTAAGCAACCTAACCACCCATTGTTGACATTATCTTTAGTTTTTTTTAAATCATTATTCCAATCTAAATTGTGATGTTCTATTTAAGGGATTTGGATGATGCAGATTTGGACTTGGTGATTAATTTAAATCTTAGACCAGGGGTCTTCAATGTTTTCCAGGCCAAGGACCCCCTAACTGATGGTGGGATGGAGCGGGGACCCCCTAATTATACAAATTGTATGAAAAATTTGTCATATCAAACTGCTCCTATAGTCACTCTATTACATATAGAGTAATGTAATGAAAGTAATTCCTTCCTGGGATTATTAAAGTATTTCTGATTCAGATTCCTGGTTGATGGGACAGGTGTTGTGAATGAAACGGTGTCCAGCTTGAAAGAGCTCCTGTGTGTCGCTGAATGTGTGCATTGATGACTGAGAGACATCTTCTGCCTCCGTTTATCTGTTTACTACAGTGTGTTGAATTCATGTTAATGTGTATTTAAAGACATTTCAATTAGTGGAAAAATTGAAGAGGGAAATATAAAAAAAAGTCTAATTAATCAAAACTTTCGCGACCCCCATGCAGTACCTCTGCGGACCCCCTAGGGGTCACGGACCCCCTGTTGAAGACGTCCGTCTTAGACTGTGGTTACTTTTTACAAATGAACAAAAAGGGCAGAAACTACTGTACTCGCCATATAAAACCCTGCAGAAACAGAGCTGACTTAAAATAGTGAGTTGGGGGTGTGATGGGGAATAGATATAGTGAAAGTTAACAATATTTTTTTTGTCTCGATTTGGATGCGCTTTACATTGTATTTTCAAAACACTGTGTTATTATGTGAAGCCATACAATACATGGTTATGTGTTGCATCTATAGATGCGTCACAATTGCATCCACTAAAAAAGAAAGAACAGCACACAATTAATACACCCCAATGCTTTCTATTTTAGATTTAACCCCAGATATTCTTTGTGAAGAGCTTCCTTGTTTTCATGTCAAAGTCAGATCATAATGGTTTTATAAGAAGCCTTCTTTCATATAAAACACTGAAGTGCATTTTGGAAAATGATGCCATCTGTGCCGGATCGATCTACAGACTGTATAATAAGGACAACCAGTTAACTTTCCCCGTGGTGGTGTTTATTTTAATGATCTCCATCTCCTTCTCTCGTCTGTCTCCCAGAGCCACAGCAACACATCGAGGACAGATCATTTTTAAGGATGCACTGGCCCAGCAGCTCTGTGAGCAAGGAGGTAAGTAACAAGGACAACTCAGTGATATTCCTCTTTCCCTGTCAGTGACATGACACATGCATAATGAATGTTTATAATCCACTCATAGGAGTAATATATTCATCAATTATATCAGTACGGTAACACAAACATGTGCACCAACAAATGCATGCAAGATGTTGCATGTTTTCACCTCCTGTCAATTTTCATTGTGTGTACGAGTTTTCTGTCAGGATGTGGATGTCACAGAGCAGTCGATCTGCTGGTTGTGCAGGACTGTGCCTTAACAGCCCTTCCTGGATTTCTTGCTGCTTAATGATGTAGCCAGAGTAAGAGATACTTGGATGCCCTATATTGCCGGCTTAATTTCAGCTTATGCTAAACTCAGCTTTTTCCCCCACTCCTTTTTCTCGTCTTTTCTGTCAGAGACTTATACTATATTGCCAAGACTTCTTACATCCACTTTCTGTGACAGTCCTAAGTAGCTATCGACAGACAGTGCAGTCCCACTATGCATGCTGAGTGTGTATAATTGCTTGTTTACAGGCGAAAAGCCTTCCTCCTTCTCACTTAAAAACCCCCCTCTTGTAGATCAAATTTGTCTTCAATGCTAAACTAAAAAAAAGACTAAATACTGCTTCTCTTTTTCTAAAAGACCAGCATAGTATAAATCATATTTACTTTTTACATTTAGAAAAGGCAACTTAAGTTATTCTTACTTATAAATATATATATCCTATCAGAAAAGGATATATCAGAAAAGTTTAAGAATAAAACACTCACTGGACACTGAGTGCTCAAATTCATGTTTTCTTGTTATTTTGAAGGAGATTAGGCTCAGAGCCCAGTTAGCCATGGATGAGCCACAGAGCGACAGAAAGATGAGAAGGTTTTTCTCCTTTGTCTCCTTGCCGGAGAGCTCATCCTCTCACCACCCCTGACACACTGCCCCAGTCCACCCTCCCTGCTCAGGAAATATCTGCAGCCAACAACAATCATTTAGTGGTAAAGTGCCAAAGCCCTAAAGTATAAACACTAACACAAAGCTGCTGGCTACAGACAAGTTAAAAAAACAGAGTTTTAGTCCTTACAAGACCTTGAAGGAGGTAAATTGTGAAACGGACAGAAGAAGTAGTAGTGGATGAAGCTAATACACATATATGATGAGTGCATAGTGAAGTGAGCTTGGATAATAATAGCGACAGTCAGAACGGATCCAAAGATTAAAGTATCTGAGCACTGAAGACTAGAAATGACTGCCCTGATCACAGGGTGGCTTCATTAAATAAAACACATAGAAGGGCAATTATCAAATAAAGAGATACTAAGCAGTGTGTCATAAATCATAACTGATATAAATGACACATTTTAATTTATTTTAATTGGTCGTTAACATAACCACAAAAGGAACAGGTTATGGATGTTATTCATCATCAGCTTGTGGTGCCATCTTGTTGTAGAATATCTAAGATATAGCATGAAATCAGCACAGATATGTCAAAAGAAAGACATCAAAATATCTTTGGTTTGTTTGTATGTTGTCCTTGGGCAGGTGTGGGTTCTCACTGGGTACTCCAGCTCCCTCCCACAGTCCAAAAACATGATTGTTAATTGGCGAATTGATTGGCTTCTCTAAATTCTCCTTAGGTGTGATTGTGTGCATGAATAGTTGTTTGTCCCTGTGATAGCCTGGCGACCTGTCCAGGGTGGACGCCGCCTCTCTTCACCAACACCCCTCGCAACCCCAGAAGGGATAAGCATGATGGAAAGTGAATGGATGTGTGGATATCTCAGTTCAGTTCTATCAATGTTAATAAGTCTTTGTAGTTCAGTTTCAATGCTTAACTTCTGCTGATCCACACAAACCCCTAAATCTTAATCTGATGTCATTCCCCACACTTCTCTCAGTTTTTCAGTTCTTTTTTTGGCCGTTTTTGTTTGTTGGGTTCTAGTGTTTCTACACTGTTGAGTTTAACCTAAAAATCTGATTTTTTTTTTCTTCCCCTTCACATGCATGTGCTACACTGGTCTATTATATATAATCCAAATAATAATAATGATGCACAATAAATATTTGTGGTTCTTATATCTAAAACTTTTGTTGCTGTAAAAACTTTTTTTAGCCATTTTTTTTATCTGTTTATGAGGGAGCACATTATTCTGATAAAATATTTGTACAAATAAATCATTCATATTACTTCAAGGTCATGATGAGGACATGTAAATCACTGTAACATTTTTTTAATATTTAGAACTATGAATGTTTCTAACTTGAAGGCAACGAAACATTGAGTTGAGTTCAGATTATGAAGTAAATTCCAATAGGTGCATCAAATATGGTCATCAGCTCTCTGAGTACAGGCAGCTGGTGAATCACTTTGTGGCATTGTTGTGGAAACAATCATCTTATCTTGAATGGGAACAAAACAAAGGGAGATTATTGTAGATTTCTGAAGAAACAGGAAAAAGTTGAGTTCAGTAAACAGTGTTGGAGAAGTAGTGGAGATGGTGGAGGAATAGAAATACCTTGATGTCCACCTGGACAACTAACTGGACTGGAGATGCAACTGTAAAGCCGTCTAGAAGAAGGGACAGAGCAGACTGGCCTTTCTAAGCAAGCTTTGGTCCTTTTGCATTGCAGCAAGATGCTACATATCTTCTGTAGGTGTCAGGTCTAAGCACCTAAAACATCATACATACATACAGGGAAAGAAAGAAAGCACAGAGACAATTAATTTAGTTACTCGCAAGGAGAGTAGGAAGGAGACTGCAGAGTTTACAATCTCCACCCCACTCTGCAGTCTTCAGCTTTCTCCTCGCTATTTATTAAAGTCTGGGGATGTCCCTAATTACACCAGCTGAGGTTTAACTAAAAGGAAAGAGAAACAAAAGGATCTTACTTTAAACCTCAGCACATATGTTAAAACAATGCATGTGGTTGTTTTACAATTGAATTGTTCCAAGATCACATGTTTAGAAGAAACATGTGATAGAGGCTGTTCAGGCCTCCTTCACAACCCGTCCGTTGCATGACCTTTTATCTGGAACAATCTTAAGCAGAGTTAATAAAAGATGAATCACACATTATACATCATAATAGTTCATTAGAACACAACCCATGAAACACAAACGGAGTATAAATAAAATATTTCTAACAGTAGGTCTGTTGTGGAGAGTGTGATCTATTCTGCCATCATCTGCTGGGGTAACAGAGCAAATTACTTTAAAAAGCTGATAAAGAATGGAGACTCGGTTCCACAGTAGGAACTCATGTAGAATCTCTGGAGATTCATTCACAAAGAAGAATTCTTTATAAAGCGAAAAAGATTATGGACAATACTGAGCATCCTAGAGTTTCTTCAGTCAGAGGCTTCTCCAGAGCCGGTGCAGGACAGACCGCTACAGAAGATCCTACCTGCCTACAGCTATCGACACCTACAACACCTGTCTAAAAATACAGCATTTAATTTCCCTTTGGGACTAATAAAGCATTTTTGAATGGAATTGTATTTGCTTTTGAACTGTAAAACTTTTGTTGCTGCAGTATAATTGTGTAAAGAAGCTATTACCCGTCGAAAAGTTGTGGGAAAATGTTCTATGTTATCAGTTCCACTTCTATAAAATCAGCTGCCAAATACTAAAGAGGATTGAGGGAAATTTAGGAATAAGCTTTGAAAGTTAACCAAAAGATATGGGGATTCAAGCCACTTTTGAAGTTTAGATGCTTAAGTCTCAAGCTTTTAAGAAGGAAAGTAATGGGAGTTATGTAAATCTAGGTTATGATCCTTGGAGAAGAAGAAGGAAAGGTTGAATCGGGGCACAAAGGATTGAGACACGGAGGATAAGGGCAGCCAATCAGGACTCATCAACCAAAGTAAAAGAGAAATTAAAAAGGCAAAGATTTGCAAAAGGTTTATTGCAAGGAGGTGAAGCTGATAATGAGACAGCAATAAAGTATGACAAGGATGAATCAAAAATCATAATACAAATAAGAGATCAATGGATAAAATAAGATATGCAGTAAGATCTGGACTAATCAAGTTACGTGCAACATTTTGCTTCTCAGCAACATAAATCCCCTGAACGCCTTTGAAGACACAAGCAGAGGGTTGCATATGTGTGTGTGTGGTGTGTTCAAGTGTATTAAATAATCTGCAGCACTTTGGGGGGGGTGGGCTGTTTGGTTACAGACATGATGCCCCATCCCCCCCTCCAGAAAGCACTTCTTCACCTCTTCCCTTCAATCTGCCAGCAACATCTTCTGCCAACATTCTTTCTTGTTTGTTTGATCTGCACCCTTATAACTCAAACTCAACTTTACAATATTGTGCTTTTAGGAGACAAAGTTGGGTGTTCTACAGTATAAGTAAATGTGTTCATTCATATTTGATTCAAATTATTTTACAGCTTGACATAAAATAAAAATGTTTAAAATAAGTATTAATAATGAAAAGTTTAATAAGTTTTTAAGCTGCTACAAAAATACCAGCTTCACCCAAAGTTCTGCAATAAAATGCAACAGTCTTGAGAAACTAATCTGGAGGGCCAGGAAATATAGCATAGAGTTAGGTAAAAAGGGTGGAGCTTTTGGACGCCTGTGTGCCGTCCATCACTTCTATCTCCTAACAGCGGGGCCAACAATCTGAGCTTTCTGCCCGGCATCGCCAAGTTCTCTCATTTCCAGTGAGAGTATAAATCAGATCTTTATGGGCCCGGTCGAGCGTTCTCTGGCCCAGATGGATTATTAAAGGGACATATAACTCAAAGAGACCATCGCTCCCCGAGGGACGCCTGATCACAGTGCAACGCAGAGGGGACGGGTGGCCTACCCCTCTCCCACCTCCTTACCACCCACCCAGTCTGCCAGCCAGCCTGCTCTCTTGGCTAAATGCCACCCCTCCTGGCCCACTAGCAAGAAATCTTAAGACCTTGGTTGTCAGAGTGTCTTCCCCTCTAGAGCTGAGAAGATCTCTTAAAATATTTGCTTTTTCAGAATATGTATCTGTCTTTCTGAAATATGA